GGGAGACTCTCAGGATGAATCATTCACTGCGTTCACAAGGAAATAAGACACGTGATTCGTTCATTCGTTCATTCATCTCATCGATGGAGTGAGTGTTCAGGTTAGAGCGAGACAGGTCAGGTGAGTCATTGCTGTGTTCAGGTGAGTCATGCAGCTGTGCTATGCTGGTGTAAGAACTGAAGTAAAGCAGACATAGAGTGCCCTGATTACGTATGTCGCTGACTGGGAAGCAAGAAACGCTGCATGTATGTTATAGATATCTCAAATCGACACGTGATCAGAGGTGGTTAGTAACTAGTTCCATAAACTTCCGTGTACAAATTTGACAAGTTGTAGTTTTCCCTCAGTTCAGTTTTAGTCCTTCACATTCTTTGAGTTTATTTCCATTCTCTTGTTTCAGTTCAGCTCCTAGTCTGCTTTGCTGTTGCTCACTCTTTGTTTGGAGTTGCAGAATTTTATTTTAGACCAAAAGGATCCGAAAAGAGATTAGAGCTAAACAAACTTCAGTTCTCATGCTGATAGATGCTGGATGTGCTGAGTTCCAGTGCAGTTCTTCTAGAGCTATTTCAGTAAGAGGTTTTAGATGTTGATACTTTTTTACTCACATTGTTTTTTGTAGCTACATATTGGGGGTCTAACAATGAATGAAAATGAATTAAAAATATAAAGGAAAGTAATGACTGTTCAGTTATGGCATAATCTACTAATGAGACTAGAGCTGGGAGGTGGGAAGAGTGCGGCACATTGAATCAACATGCTAGACTGTTGATTGGTGCACATTGTTTGAACAATGCAGTTGTGTTAGATATCATAATAGTGGAGGTGGGCAATATAGCAGAAATATAATAATGTGATACGTCACTATGCAAGATATGCATCACAATATTTCGTTTTTCTAAGGACAAAAAGCCCCAGGAATTACATTATTTTATGTATCATTTACATACTGTGCTACTTTAAATCCAATTAGTAAAGACTAATTATGCTTTCTCTGCAAGTTGGTTAGTGTTCTTAAAGTACTGACAGTACTAACAATGACTCAGAAAAGCTGACGCAAGTTGCTACAATAATGATAAAATATTGTCATATTGCCAACCCATTGCCAACATCACAATGTTTTGATGCATTGTTACACCCGTTACAAATACTTCTACATGAGCCATTGTTTATTTAGTTCATGTTTGAAGCTTGTCTACTGATCTCTGGATGTGACGCAGAAAAAAGAATGACTTGTTTATTTCCAACTAATATGCAAATCACTGATTCCTAATTGGGCGTTTAAATAGAAATGGCTCCACATGGCTATTTCAGTGGCATAATCTACTAATGAGACTAGAGCTGGGAGGCGGGAGGAGTGTGGCACATGAAATTAACATGTTAGACTATTTTGTTGATTGGCACACATTGTTTGAACAATGCAGTCATATTAGATGTCATGATTAATAGTAGAGTTTGGCAATATAGCAAAATTATAATCACTATAAATGATACACATGACAGTATTTAGTTTTTTTAAGGTTTATATTTTCTGAGGTTTGATAGCAGATTAAAAAAGCCCCAGGAATGACATTATTTGATGTATCATTACATTAAAACTTATGATGTTTTTTGTTCAACATTTTACATGCTGTGCTACAGTAAATCCAATTAAACAGGTCTAATTATGCTCTCTTTGCAAGTTGGTAAGTGTTCTTTAGGTACTGAGAGTACTTACAGTGACTCAGAAAAACTTAGTGATGTAATTTGCTACAGTAATGATAAAATACTGTCATATTGCCAACTCCTAAAGAATAGATGTCATAATTAATAGACATCACAATGTTTTGATGCATTGTTACACCCATTACATAAACTTCTACCTGAACTATTGTTTTTTTTAGTTCGTGTTTGAAGCTTCTCTACTGATCTCTGGTTGTGATGCAGAAAAAAGAATGACTTGTTTATTTCCAACTAATGTACAAATCAATGATTCCTAATTGGGCGTTTAAATAGAAATGGCTTCACATGACTTCAATATGTGTCTTAACTCAGTGTTTAGATATTAGCTGATATTTGAGTACCTGATTTTGTACCACACATCAGTTCCAAAAAGTTATTTAATACATTTTTTCAATGCTATAATGTGGCGCACAGTTCCGTACTCTAAATTCGAATACTTTTAAACCGTATTTATGTAAATAAGCTAGCACCAGGATGACTTTGTATTTTGTCTACAGCCTATGAGGGTTCTTTGGAACAATGGGAGAACCACTTGTGCTTCCCTTAAGACCCTTTCAGTTGATGGTTCTTTAATATTATGCCTGTCAATTAGGAGATGTAGGGGTGTGAAGAACAACTTAAAAGTTTAAAGAACCTCTGCATAATGTAAAGATTCTATACCAGCTAAAAGCTTTACTGTAGAACTGTAATCCTAGCCAAGAACCATTAGTTTTACGAGATGTTGCGCATGCTGATGGTTTTGTGTTGGTTTGAAAAAAATGTGAATACTTTTCTGTGTTAAATTCATTCAACATTGGACATTCGGACAGTGATTTTTTTGCCAAGATGTTGTTTGGTATCAAACATTGTGATACTACACTTGGTATCGGTATCAAAATTCTGATATTGTGATAACCCTATATTAGTGTGCAACAGTCTGTATATGTTATATTTCTTCTGGCTTTGCATGTAAAGCAAAGGAGCGTAAATGTAGGGCATGTAATTTTCAACATTCTCTGCCGTGAGTCATTGCCCTAAATCCAGGAACCAACCAAAAAGAAGAAAATACTGTTTTTTTCCTATATTAGGAGCAAACATGACCTAGCATTTCTCTTTGGTCTCTTTCACATTTTAGATGTTTTGTTAGGTTTATTTTTCCACAGCTGCTAATAAGAAATTGAGAAGACCAAGAGGTCATCCTGAGGACATAAATTCTCCAACTCCTGGATATAAAGCATTCTATGATAACATGGAAAGTAATGGCAGCTACTGCAAACTATGATTCCTATCCGCTGAGTTCAACTCATGCCTCTGCAGTTATGTCACCTGCCAGATATTAAAAAACAGTAGAGGACATTGAATATGGCTAAGTGAGGACAGTGGGGACCAAAGCATCACCCACTGCCGTTTTGTTGAGCGGATGGTGCCGTACTGCTTTTTTTAGCTGCACAGAGACAGGATTTTCATCTTTGGCTTAGTTTTTGATCTGACGTTCGTGATATTTCTGTCTTTATTTTTCTCTGAAAGACAGAATTTGTTGGGGGGGAGTTAAAGGTAAGGAGCATGAAGTCAGATTAAAAATAGATTTGTTTCTTTTTCCAAAATAAATCATCTAGGAAAACTTTATACGTCTCCCGTTTTCAAGAACAAATACCACAGAACTTCAAGGAGCTTCAGTGCCTGTTTGGTTGCTCTACTAAAGTTGGTCGGTCCAGCATTGACTCAGCGCTCGGGTGCCGCTCTGTTTAAATCCGAGCATGTCGTGGTCAGTATCCAGTCCCAGAGGTCAGTGCAGGCCGGCTGTTCTGGGCAGTTATGTAATGCTAAAGGTGCCATTCGATATGTGTTATTCAACCCACAAACTCGTCTCATCATCGCACCGGGCACATGGTGCGGTCAACTCGAATGTGTGATCTGACAAACTGTTCTCAGTGTGTAATCCGCATGTTCTTTCTCTCACTCTCTCCTACACACTCACTTGCACTTTGTGTGTGTGTGTGTGTGTGTGTGTGTGTGTGTGTGTGTGTGTGTGTGTGTGTGTGCATGCCTGTTCCTGTGTGTGGGTGAATTGGTCCCAAACTGTGACAAGGTTAATATCCTTTACATGTGCATTCAGGGTAAAACATGCTAACACCATATATTTTGAGAATATGTTTTCTCTTCTGTCATATTGTACACTGCAAAAATATTATTCTAAATAAGTGAAAGTAAGTGAGATCGTCTTAAATAGGGTCATGTTAGGATTGTTGTAAGAATATTGTAAGATTAACTATAATTTCCAGACGTTTATACTTTTATACTTATGTTTTAAGTCATTTTAACTGGTGAAAATATCTTACTCTTTTGGCAAATATTTTAGTTTGTTTCAAGAATTATTTCTTGGATTAAAATATTGGTAATAAGCAAAATCATTTGCCAAATGAAATAAAACAAACAAAAAAAAAACAATAATAACAATACACCGATCAGGCATAACATAAAACTCCAGCAGCACTGCTGTATCTGATCCACTCACACCAGCACAACACACACTAACACATCACCACCACGTCAGTGTTACTGCAGTGCTGAGAATGACCCACCACCCAAATAGTACCTGCTCTGTGAGGGTCCATGGGGGTCCTGACCACTGAAGAACAGGGTAAAAGGGGGCTAACAAAGTATCAGAGAAACAGATGGACTACAGTCTGTAACTGTAGAACTACAAAGTGCACCTATATAGTAAGTGGAGCTGATAAAATGGACAATGAGCGTAGAAACAAGGAGGTGGTCATAATGTTATGCCTGATCGGTGTACATCTTAGAACAATCTTGCAACTGTCTCTAAATATTAGATATTTAGATGATATTTAGATATTTAGACTAGATTTAAGATGATTTCACTGCCACAATATCATTTCTTTCTGACTTTCTGTGAATTCCAGAGCTGCTCACATGAGGTATAAACAGATTGATGTCATTCACATCACCATTGATAATAAATATATTTTCTAGCTCACAAACTCCTGTAGGCCTCAGTCAAGCATGTCAACAAAAGTACTGATCTGAAAGTCATCCAGTATTTTTGTATTGATTATGAATGTAAAAGGCAAAAGTGACCCTACATCACAGTTCATCATTCTGAGAACCTTGTACTGGCCAAGATCACCAATCCAGCATTTCATGCTTAACAGAAGATTTCTAGTTTTAATGGATACTAGAAGTGAGTTTAATTTCCAGCCCTTTGGTCCTACAGTTTTGCAGTTAACTGTAAAAAAAAAAAGAAATCCAGTGCTGAACATCTTCCTCTTCTTTTGTTACAGTATTTGGGCTGCATAGAAGTCCTTCGATCCATGAGATCCCTCGATTTCACCACAAGATCCCAAATAACAAGGTAGGACTCCTCCACCATCGACTAACACTCTTAACACTGTACTCTTGATTTAACCACCACCGTGACTCTCATACCTGCAGTTAAATCCTAAAACTGTACTGATAATTTCAGAAACTGTGTTTATATAGGCTTGGCCTGAGGTGAAGAACACATGAATCAGTCACATTTTACACTGCAAAAATGATATCTTAGCGAGTGTAAATGTCTTCAATGTCGTCAATATATCTAATATTTTTCATTATGAGATGGTTGTAAGAATATTTAACTTACATATTTAACTTTTACATATTTTTTACTTGTTTTTAAGCTGTTTTATCCTATGAAAGTGTCTTATTCCATTGGCAGATCATGTTCCTTGTTTTGAGCATTGTTTCTTGCAATAAGCAAAATTATCTTCATTATTTCTCAAAACAAGTAAACTAATCTGCCAATGGAATAAGAGAAACTAGATAAACCACTAAATAAAATCACTTAAAACAAGTATGAAATGTACAGAATCGGGTGGGATAGTCTTATAATATTCTTACAACAATTTTATAATGAAAATATTAGATTTATTGCCTGCATTTAATACATTTTCACCTGTTAAGATATTATTTTTTGCAGTGTATGTTGATGGTACCTAGAGGTGGACGATGTCATAATATTTTAACATTATGGTAACTTTTTTTATCATAATAAACATTATGCTTCTCAGAGCATTATGTGAAGATCGTCAGTAAGAATGCTGACCAACTACATGTTTCATTAAAAAGAAAGCGTAGATATACCTGTTTAAGTGGAATTAGTGCAGCAGAATGTGTGAAATGTAGAATAAAAATCATCGTTTTTGATGGCAGTTGTTAAATGTGGCGTTGTGTCTGTGTGAAAAATATTATGGTACATTTTATGTAATGGAAAATGTCTTTAAATATCGTAATAAGATATTTTTGCCATATCGCCCACCCTTAATGTTTCCCTCTACTCCGGGCTGTAACTGGGAGTTTTAGTGAGGTCCATTTTGCAGAAATGTGACCAACATCTCACAGTGAATAAAATAACTGACAAATATGAGTGTCACACCAACTGCTAATGCAACGCTGCTGACATACTGAAGCAATCAAGCACAGCAACAATTGCTTAGCAGTGATTGGAGGGTTTAGAAAATAAGGCGGAGCTTGGCAGATTTTGATTGGCCATAATACAGTGACAGCGCTCTCAGAAAACAAATCAAACTTCATCCTAGAAATGCGGTATAGTACATAGTCTGCCCCCGTTTGATTGGGTAAGACTGTGATACTGTGGCTGTGCCACTGAGTATCATGTAATAATAGCGCTGTTTCTATGTTTAAAGAGTAACTACACCCTAAGACCTTTTTTTTCATTAACAGCTGAAATACACGCTCACATGCTGAGCTAAATACCCCCAGCACCACCTCACAAGGCCAGCTCTCTGTACCAACTGTAAATAACCCAATTAATCTGAGCTTAGTTTGTAATAAAGATGTTGGACCGATTAAGCGAGGATTCTTGCAAGTCTCTATAAAGCTGCCAGTCTTGCGTCCAATTCACATTTCCCTTCACAACTCGGACCCTCGGCGCCGCACTCCCTGAACAGACATCACTGGCAAGAAACACTGGAACTTCGGAAAGCGAAACATTCAGGAAAGATTAATGTTCAGTGGCCGACTGTGTCAACCTTTCGTCTGTACAGCCTTTCTCGGACTTCTTTCCCGCTTTCCGTAGTTCCAGTGCTGCTTGCCGTTGATTTCTGTTCAGTGAGTGCGGCGCCGAGGGTTCGGTTTATACAGGGGAACGTGAATTTGAGTGGGATCTGAATCGGATGTAACGACGGTAAGTGCCTTGAACAGCTTGCAGAGCGTAAGGATTTGGGGCTGCTGCAGCAAACCCTGGCTGACCGGTGATGCAGTCTGCGACCTTGATGTCAAACTATATGAAACTTAGACAGACAGAGTTCAAAGAAATCCACTTCATTCATTTGGAATTTGGTGCATCTAAGAAATCAGGACTCGGGTTATATCAAATATGGACCTGCTGAACAGATAATTAGAAGCTGGCTGTCACAGTTTTAGGGAATGTTCTACCGTTCGGCGCCTCTCCCTCTCACTGCTGATCATTTTCTGGCACTACGTTAACTCTTCAGCGGCTTGAGTCAGGGGCTCATACTGTTATGACTCAGGACGCACTGACTGATCAGAAACCCCTTCCCTCGTCGAAGACGGTGATGGTAGTAGAGAAAAATCGTTAACCTTGTAAGACTCTCAGTTGCAAAAGTGCCGTTTGATTCTGTCTCTCTCCATATTCTCTGGTAGCTAACGCACACTAGCTCTAAAAACACAGCAGCCCAGCCCCCCCGGTTTCACTCGAGGCCCACCTCCAAACCTGTACACCACTCCCAGTGCCCCTCCCAGCATGTCACCTCCCATTTTTGAGCATTTTTCAAAGTTGAGCCAGGGGTGGAGTCAGCTGAAAGTACTGGGGTGTAGTTACTCTTTAATCTCACCAGTGGAGGAAAGTAAGAAACCTTCGGAACCTACTGAGGTCTGGACCTCGGTGTCCTCATAGCGAGTTACCGATACCTTGATTTGACACTGATTTATGAACAACGTTTTTTTTTTTTTTTGGAAGTAAGTGTGGCTTAAACCAAGAAATGAATATTTATATTGCGGACTGATCAGGAAGCTCTGATGTTAGTTACATTCATGCAGAATGTCTTCTGGACAACCAGTCGGCAGGTTAGATTTTGAACCAAGCATGCTGATTGGCTCATTGGAGCTAATAAGACTCACTGGTTAAGTTGTGAAATTCAGAATTCAACGGCTTTGAATTTTACTCATTAGTATTAGAGTAATTCGGTCTGTACCTTTAAAGTATTGTATTTTATTGAATTTACTTACATTTTTAACAAATGATCTTGTAAATCTGGTTGATAATCAACATAGAGATGGGATTAGGACCAGGGCTAGGGTTAGAATAAGGTTATGGATTGAATTTAAGATTAGAGTTAGTACTGAGTGAGTGAGTACTAAGGGAAAGGTAAATTGAATTTAATGGATATTTAGTTGGATGTTAGACTTGGTGAGCATCTGCAAAGCATCTATAGTGGGTAGAGATGGATAAAGGGTTGCCTTTGATCTTTACAATTATATTTTCTTCTTTTCGTAGAGAACGGTATTTTGCTTTTTTCATGAATCAAGTGCTGTAGTTTCATTAACTGACTGTGAGGTTTGCCTTGAAGTCCTGCTTTCATTGAGCTCGCTACCGTCCGCTCAGTTTGGTGAAATGGGGGGTAAGGAATGTGAATCCAGCTCATCCATGTGCGTGGATGACTCATTGCATAACATTAGTTAGGAGAAGGCCGGATAGGTCCCAGTGGACGCTGGTTGTTTATCGAGCGCACACTTGTGTGGGCTGATTCTCACAGAGAGAGAGAGAGAGAGAGAGAGAGAGAGAGAGAGAGACCAGTGACAGCGAATATGGCATGTCACATTCACTTTTCCACCTGACTTCCTGTTCTCCACTCAGCTTGCTTTCACACACACATGCGTGTGCGTGCTCACACACACAAACACACACACACACACACACACACGTTCATACTCTCCATTCAGCACACTCGGAGATGAAACACTATTTATAGATTTTCTTTAAAGCCAAATCAAAGCCCAGAACGCTGACTGCTTTTCAGTGTGATCTCACTCTCAGGACAGGCCTGTCACGATCAGGACATTTTAGTTGACGTCTAATTGCGATATAAATAATTGCATGGCAGTTTCACTGTATTCAGCTATTAAAGACCAAGCGTAAAGTGGCTAAACTAGCTGATTGGCTCTCTTGCTTCCTAGCTGTGGATACTTCTTAGCTTCCAACTGACAACAGATACAACTCGAGGTCAAATAAATAAATATTACTCACCATCGCCCTCTAAAGGTGTTACAGATAAACATAAAACAAATCTACATTACTCACCGCTGCCCTCTAAAGTCATTATAAACAAGTATTAATTATTGCCGCCCTCTAAAGGTGTTATTAACATCAAATAAACAAACGTTACTCACTGCCGCCCTCTAATGGTGTTATTAACAAACGTCAAATAAACAAACGTTACTCACTGCCGCCCTCTAAAGGTGTTATTAACAAATGTCAAATAAACAAATGTTACTCACTGCTGCCCTCTAATGGTGTTATTAACAAACGTCAAATAAACAAACGTTACTCACTGCCGCCCTCTAAAGGTGTTATTAACAAATGTCAAATAAACAAACGTTACTCACTGCTGCCCTCTAAAGATGTTATTAACAAACACCAGATAAACAAATGTTACTCACCGCCGCCCTCTAAAGGTTTTATTAACAAACTTTAACAAAAAGAAAATAAACATTACTCACCGATTTCCTCTAAAGATGTTAACATCTAATAAACAACCTGTAAAGGTGTTGTTAAACCATCATCAAGCAAACAAAAGTCAAAAGCAAAAACACTGAATTCACTAGTTTCAGGTTCCCTCATGCCTTGCATAAAACATCTTAGTGAATTTCAGCTGCAGATTTCCCCTTTTACATTAAGTGAACTGCTTAAAACATGTTTATGTAGAAAGTGATCAAAATACATAAAATGCAGAATATGAGCTTTAGCTTCACCACTTTAGTGTTTCATGTGCAAAATATTAATTTAAATTAAAAAATATTTTATGCAAGTGGCCACAAACTGTACATTGAAACATGTTACTAGTATCCTGATGCTTTATGATTAATTTTAATCTATTATTTTACTTTTTAATTCCTCTCCACATTTACAGTATACAGTGATTATTGAATGTAATTGTATTTTTCCTTTGTGTTTAAGATTCTGCTTAGCAAACTTCTTTTCAATAAATCTTTCATGGATTTTTATGTTATTATTTTTCAATATATAATACTGATGTAATTTCTAATTTGTATAAATTATATATTTTCGAAATATTTAGTCCTGTTTAGTGGATTCTGTTACTCGCCAACTCGGAGGGGTGCTGCTGAGCGATGCAGCTGGATGGTAGAGGGTCTTACAACTGAAATGCTGATGGGAAAAGTCATTTTTGTATCTCTGTCTCTGTCTCTTTCTCTCTTTCTCTCTCTCGCTCTCTCGTTCTCTCTTAAGGGAGGCCATCAGTCTGGTTTGTGAGGCAGTTCCAGGTGCCAAAGGAGCGCTGCGCAAGAGAAAGGTAATAATAAAAATAATAATAATATACTTATATAACACCTTAACAGACGTTCTTTACAGTGAGATTAACATAAAATATTAAAAGCTTAATTAATGAAAGGCAATAAAATAAGGGAAATCAGAATGTATATTAAAACAAATAATAAAAGAAAAGCACAGTTAAGGTGGCGTCTTTTCCAGCACCATAATTGAGGAGGAAAACGGGCAGAACAAGAAGAAGGAGAGAAGACCAGGAAGGGAAAGAGAGAGACATATAGATAGAGAATAAAGTCTGGAATAAATAGTTAAATGAAAATTAGCATAAGCAGTGATGCAGAAAGAGATAGAGAGAGAGAAAAAGAGAGAGAAAGCGACAGTCATTGTGTTGAGCAAGTAGGGGTGCCGATAACGAATGGAAAGTTGGGGGGGAGGTGCTGTGTGTGGAGTGAGGTCAGTGATAAAAGGTAGCTCAGTGAAAAAAGACAAAAAGGAAAGGAGGAAGGGACGTGGAAAATACACTGCAAGTGATGGAGAAGAGAAAGAGAGATAAGGAAGAAGAAGGTTTGAGGGGAAACGCCACAGTGAGAGAGAGAGAGAGAGAGAGAGAGAGAGGGAGAGGGATTGTGAGGGAGAAGGAGATGTGGTACAGTGTGTGTGTGTGGGTGTACACACAGCCCACGATACACACTGTTAGAACTGTGACTCATTTGGTGCTGAGGATCAGTAATCAGCTCAGCCAGCCTGGCTCTTATGTGTCTGTGTGTTTGTATTTATGTGCTGCTGTATATGGCAGATATGCATACGTTCATCGCCTAAGACCTGTAATGAGTTACATCAGTGCCTTTCCTGCACAACAGCAGATTAGATCTGTTAACCTGGCGCAGCACAGAATTAAAAAAAAACATCTTAAGCCGGTTTGACACGGTGAAACCTTCATGCAACTATAGTTGCATGTTGTGAGTTGCTCGCAACATCATTTCTGTACAACTTGACAGTTACACACAGCAATTCAAAAAACACTTAGCCAGTTTAGCAGTGCATATTTTTCACACGTCATATCGTTTTCACCAAGTCAGCTGTGATGATATATATATATATGGGGAGATTCACTCGAAAGAGGCCCTGAATATTCTGGAATAACTCTTGCTAGGACGAAGCAATCTGAACGAAACATAGTGCAATGTGCTCCTCAGTATATGGAGCTTCGAACAAGCCGGGATACCCCTGCGTCGGAGAGATGAGGTAGGTGCCGGACAGCCGTTGCGACGTTTAACCTCTGTTTGCGACTTCCGGGTGCCTACCCCCGTACCCCTTCACTCAGTCACTCGACTTGTCAACAGGATGTTGGCGTACAGTGCTGAGAACTGTGTCAGTGAATGTAGTGAATTTTTTTGGTCCAGATTGCTTCATCCTAACAGGAGTTACAAGAGAATATCCGGGGCCTCTTTCGAGTGAATCTCCTTGTATATACATCGATCAGGCATAACATTATGACCACCTCCTTGTTTCTACGCTCATTGTCCATTTTATCAGCTCCACTTACTATATAGGTGCACTTTGTAGTTCTACAGTTACAGACTGTAGTCCATCTGTTTCTCTGATACTTTGTTAGCCCCCTTTTACCCTGTTCTTCAGTGGTCAGGACCCCCATGGACCCTCACAGAGCAGGTACTATTTGGGTGGTGGATCACTCTCAGCACTGCAGTAACCTTGGCGTGGTGGTGGTGTGTTGGTGTGTGTTGTGCTGGTGTGAGTGGATCAGACACAGCAGTGCTGCTGGAGTTTTTAAACACTGTGTCCACTCACTGTCCACTCTATTAGACACTCCTACCTTGTCAGTCCACCTTGTAGATGTAAAGTCAGAGACGATAGCTCATCTGCTGCTGCACAGTTTGTGTTGGTCATCCTCTAGTCCTTCATCAGTGGTCACAGGACGCTGCCCACAGGACGCTGTTGGCTGGATATTTTTGGTTGGTGGACTATTCTCAGTCCAGCAGTGACACTGAGGTGTTTAAAAACTCCAGCAGCACTGCTGTGTCTGATCCACTCAGACCAGCGCAACACACACTAACACACCACCACCACGTCAGTGTTACTGCAGTGCTGAGAATGATCCACCACCCAAATAGTACCTGCTCTGTGAGGGTCCATGGGGGTCCTGACCACTGAAGAACAGGGTAAAAGGGGGCTAACAAAGTATGCAGAGAAACAGATGGACTACAGTCTGTAACTGTAGAACTACAAAGTGCACCTATATAGTAAGTGGAGCTGATAAAATGGACAATGAGTGTAGAAACAAGGAGGTGGTCATAATGTTATGCCTGATCGGTGTATCTATAGATGTGTGTGTTTGTCTGTTATCTGTCTGACTTTAGTTCTTTACTGTGTATTTGAGTCTTTTATGTGTTGTGTCCACCCCAAATGAATCTGAGTCCAGTGTAAAATTAGTAGGTATGAAAAGAGGAGAAAATAAATCTACTAATCATGATAACAACAGGCTAACAAAGAAGAATAGGCTTTGGGTTGAGGTTAAGGTTAGGGTTAGGATTAGGGCCAGGTTGAGGGTTAGGTTTTGGCTAAGGTTGGGTAAGGTTAGGTTTTGCGTAATGGACGTAACATTTTAAATCTACTTCATGTAACATATCAATAATACATCTACTTAATGTAAGTAATGTATCAAAAGTGCATCTTCAAGATATTTACTGCAGTGTATTCAAATGCTTCACTACTGCTGCTTCACTGATATGTTGTTAATGTGTTAATGATACTCTGTCAAGAGTTAATTAATCATCTGCCAATTTAGTTTGTTGTCGTGACTCGGGAAACTGACGAAATGAAAAACCACCAAGCTCGAGTCAACCGGGGTGGGGAGGGGTTGTTTTATTAATGTTTTATTAATGTTTATTATTGTTTTATTTTCTTGTCCATTGGTCCACTTGCAACTTTTGCAGCTGAGTTTCAAGTCAGCACATTATGCAACTCTTCTATTTAGTTCTGTTTAGTTTTGTGTAGCTTTGTGTTTCGATCAACCAAAGTTGCATGAAAGTTTTGTTGTGTAAAGCCAGCCTTAGTGTGCTATCAAGAGCTACACTATAGATCCAAAAGTTTGCTGATTCAACATTTCTTCTGAAATTAAGGGTCCTATTAATATGTAATTTGCCCTTCTGTGCTGCAGGAACAGACTTTACTCTTTTGTAAAAGCTTTACACCAGATGTGGGATTCGATTACGTTCAGTCACAAAGGTATTGGATGAAGCCCCATCCAGAGAATGCAGTTCCGCTGCTCCACAGCCCAATACTGGGGAGCTTTGTACCCCTTTAGCCTTCGGGATTGTCATTAAATCAGTGTTTGGACATGTTTTGTATGTCTGAGGAGCCAAAGAGTGCGTTTACATGCACTCAGTAATCCGATAACTGCCGAAATCAGATTTTGTCAGTAATCCGATCAACATGTTTACATGCTCTTGAGTAATCAGATAATGGTGAAACTCCGCGTCTAAATGAGTCAGACAGTAATCAGATTTCTGCTTTACAACCAGCCAATAAACTCACAGAAGAAGACGTGACTTAAACGTAAAGTAAAACGCCACTTTTTTTTTAAACATTTCGCCACTTTAGCTGAAAATATGAACATACATCATCTAGAAGATGAAGAACATTTAAATCCTTTATTTCGTGTTTGGTTTCAGTGCCGCTCCAACAGTGTTTTGCTGCGTCTCGCGACATCCACCTTCTGTTCTCGCGCAGACTGAGAAATCTGAAAGAAATCAGAGTAAGAGTTCACATGCACTGAGAAATCTGATTACTGAGCTAAAATCCAGCTCTCTTGATCAAATTTCTCAATCAGATTTCTAGATTGGAGTTTGCTGTTTACATGACCATTGAATAAACGGATAAATGCAGAAATCTGATTATGATCGGATTATTGAGTGTATGTAAACACACTCAAATATTTTGATGCGTAAATAGAGCAGCCCCTCCCGTCTCTGCAACCGAGATGTTTTATACTGTGAGAAATCCTGTCTGAAAAATGTCTTTCTCTTCCCTTTCCTAGCCTGTCTTCATCATTTTATGTTGTGTGTAAAATTTAATATGATAGATAAAATGAGCGTTGAAGGTGGTGCTGAACGATTTGGGGAAGATATCTAATTGCGCTTTTTCCTAACCAATCTTCTGATTGCGGTTTAAATACAATCATTTTCTACTAACGAATTTCCAGGCCTGTTTTTTGGCCAAGAAGACCGGAATATCCACTTTTTCTGGCAACGCTGTTTTATTGCTTCTGATTGGTCAAACTCACCTACAGCCAGTTCACAAGCTCTGTGTTATTAGGTTACATTTACTCATTTATAACTTGTTAAGACAGCATTGTTCATAATGCATTCCATAATAAAAATAAAATAGCAGCTCTTGCGATTTAAAAATTGCACTTTTTAAAATTTCAATATTAAAATGATTCATCTTTTAGCCCTAGTTAAAAGAACTTAACTGGATGCATGAAATTAGTTACAGCTCTTTTACTCCCTTTGTCTCTTTTTTTCTCTCTTTTAATCAATCTATCCTCCCAACACCCTCGCCCTCTCACTTTAGCCCCCCTCCAAAGCTCTTTCTAGTATCCTGGGGAAGAGTAACTTGCAGTTTGCTGGCATGAGCATCAACCTCAACATCTCAATCAGCAGCTTAAACCTGATGACTCCTGACTCCAAACAGGTAGAGGGACATACACCTGCACGACACACAGTCATATTTGGATGCCACTTTAGAATAAGACTACCCTTATAAAGAGTTTACAGATGGTTTAAAATTAGTTTATTAATGGTTACTAGTTAGGTCAAAACACTTTAAAAATCGTTAATAAGCAGTTATAACACAATAATAAAATCTGTATCTGATGAATATGAATATGTGGTGAAGCTGACAGTTTAATATGAGGTATAACAGTACAAATTCACTGTTATGCAAACATCAGGTCACTGTTGCCCTTTTTATTTATGTACTATAACTGCTTATTAATGATTGTAAGGTGTTAATGACCTAATTAAAACCATTAATAAACACATTTTAAACCATTTATAGGGGCAGCAGTGACCTGTTGTTTGCCTAAAGGTGAATCCACATTCATTTATACTGTTAAATCGCATATTTTGATGTTTTTTTTTCTTACTTTGTCTTCTCCATCAGTCAGACTTAAACCGTTTGCTTCGTCGTACATTCACATTCATCACATATAGCAGCTCATCTTTATATTAATGTGTTATAACTGCTTAATAATGATTTTTTAAGTGTTTATGATCTAAGTAATAACCATTAATAAACTAAATTTAAACCATTCATAAACCCTTTATAAGGATAGTCTTATTCTAAAGTGGTGCCCATATTTGTGTAAAATAAAGTTTGTCATTGTATATTGCTTGTAACAGTGTAAGCAGCATTTCAAACTGGAGAAATGACTGTAGTTTCAATACCAAGTAGGACTGTCTGTTCATATTACTGGGCCAATTGCGTTTACTTGAATTCTTGCAACTGCAAGATGGCAAATTCCTGAAGGGCCTGATACAATCATTAAGCAGCAGCTCATGTTATTGATAGAATTATTCATTTATTACAAAAAATCCTACACATTCCTTCTTGAACAACTGCCAACAGCTGTATAAAAGGACACATACACATAGTGTATCATGACTGAACGTGAAGTAGTATGATGGGTCTCAGCCTAAAGATCAATAATCCTCTCTTTCCTGTCTCTTCCGCTAGATAATAGCCAATCACCATATGCAGTCGATATCCTTTGCTTCCGGTGGAGATCCGGTAAGGAACTAAGAGCGAGGGAGTTAACTTTAATGTTGTTTTCCCTGACAAAAGAAAGTAAAGCTATGCAAGATGAACATATTTGGAAGTACATTGATGTGTATTTTTATTTCAGAGATTTTGCCATATTGGGTCACTCATGTCCTCCATAGTGATTGTAACTGACAATACATAACAGTCATTGCAGTCATGCGTAAAGTTAATCACAGCTTTGTGACAAATTCAGTAAAGAAAAGTGGACTTTTCAAGGCATGTGGGTGTAATATTCATTCTTTTCTGTGCTTCATTCACAGGACACGACTGATTACGTTGCTTATGTAGCAAAAGATCCGGTTAACAGAAGAGGTAAGATGCTTGGAATCACTTCTGTTTCCAAATGTTTACATTTATTCAGCTGTTTGAATTGGTTTTCTAGTACTCTGTTTAGGTGAAATCACGGTAAAGAGAATCTGCTTTACAGATAAAAGAGAAGATAAAGGAGTCAACACTTTTTAGCCCTTAAAAAAAGCTGTGGTAACACTTTCTATGAATGTCACATTTGTAAGCATCTATAAACATGTTTATAACATTAAAACATGGTTATAAATATTTATAAAAAAGAATTACACTGAATTACACTTTATAGCCATGTTTATTATACATTATGAATTGTTAATATAATGCATTATAAATAGTGTTAATAACATGTTATAATGTCAGGGCCAAAGAAGTCAGTCCCAGCTTAAACAACGCAAAGTAAAGACACATACCAAGCTAACGGTGGTGTACGTTACCTTTCCCACATTGGGTAAAACACTGATGGCAGCTCTAGTTTAAAATCTGACATTTGAAGCCTGTAATGTGCTTTACTGTGATGTTTTAGTGTTTCAGTAAATTATTCAGTAAATACTTCAACTTGAAGCCTCACTCTTAACACTGGAGGAGGCTTTAGTACAGTACGCTTCACTTTACTTAGAGCGGACAAATACGACTTATGAGCTCTTATAATTTGTTATGATCAGTACTTATAATGTATTATGTTAACAATTCATAATGCGTAATAAACATGGCTATAAAGTATAATGCATTTTAATAAATATTTATAGCCATGTTTATAATGCCTTATGAATGCATTATAACATGTTATGAATGTGTTTATAGATGCTTACAAAGGTGACATTCCTAGAAAGTGTTACCAAAGCTGTTTATAACATATAATGTACTCTCTTTTACTTTAACAAGTGCTGTTGCTGCATTTGTTTGATTATGTTAGGAGCATGATCAGAGAAAGCCGAAAATATGGGATACATTTTAGTTCGAAGTCACAAACTAGCTTTTCTGAAAAACCAGACGCATGAATAGGAGTATACGTCACATCTCATTTTACCCCTACCCCTTGTTTTTGAGTGTCACCTTGCCCCTTGGTTAAAATCTTCCCTCTGAAATGGGATCCTCAACTAAAAAGAGCATTACTTCATTAACAGCTACCAGCGCTGCTCTGTAGGCGACCCTGCCAGTCTGCAGTGACAGCAGAGGAGGGTAAAGTTCAGCTCCTCACTGCTGGGCTTTAGTTACATTTAGGGCATCATATGCCTTCAAAGAGGGGGGGCAATTATTTATTATCACCCACCCCAAATTCTTCAGTGATATGAAGCTGAAGTCAGATATTCGCAGCTTCTCGTTTGAATTTTCCCGTTCCACCTTAAATGATGCAGCAGTTACATTCTGGCACTTCAGGCGTCAGAACTGCTGGACTATTTAAGGTGGAACGGCAAGGTTAGCTAGCTAGCTACCGAGACATTAGCATACTATTAGCAATGTTTTAATGCTTGGTATGAAGAAAGTGACCATAATACATTAAACTAAGATAAAACAGTGGTTATCATAATTTTTAACTGAAAAAATTCTCACATTTGTGGATTTCTTTGGTCTCTTGTTCAGCCGTCTTGCCGGTTTTCCTGTTTTTTCTCATATCACTCTGTGTGGAGTGTCGCTCTGAAAAACCTCCGTTTGGGGGCCATGTAGCCCCAACACTTTGCCCTACCCCTCTATCTCAACAAAATAGGGACACCCTACCCCTAGACGTGAACACGCAAAACGCAGGGCTAAGGGCTCAGTGGTAAAGAGTGAAATGGGATTGGGCCTTACTGTTTTTGTGAATGGGAGGCATTCTGCATTGCCACTCTTTGACCTCCTTTATAGCCTTCATAGCCTGCAGCTCTGCATTCGAAAACAAAGGGGATTGATTAATCCAGTGAGGCTGTATTTAGCTTTGTTAAAAAAAATCAATTTCCACTGCTGATGCTGCTGTCTGCCTCTTTTTTCTTTTCGTGTGTCTTTAGCATCCTGTACGTGCAGGGGCCATGTTTTAAAATGGCCCTCTATGCTTCAGAATGCATTTGTGATGACGTTATGGGGAAGATCCGATAATGAGTGCAGTGTGGGGAATGAGTCAGCAAATTGTCTTCCGTTTTCAGCAGCGATCTGCTGATATCTAATCCTTCAGTGTGGGTGTGTGTGGCTGTGTGTGGCTGCGTGTGTGCTTGTGCATCGGGGTGTGTTTGTCTGTATGAACCTGTGTGTGCTTATTTTTTTTTTTTGCAGCGTGCCACATTCTGGAGTGTTCGGATGGTTTGGCCCAGGATGTCATCAGTACGATAGGGCAGGCGTTTGACCTGCGCTTCCAGCAGTACCTTCAGTGTCCCTCCAGCAAGCTCTCTGCTATACATGACAGGTAAACACTAGGGGCGAAACGATTCATGAAATTTGTTATTCGAAACAGTACGATACAGTAGTGTCTTGATTCGATAATTTTTTTTAATACAGCAAAAATAAGGAGGGGATGTCAGAACAAATCCTTTTATGTTTATGTTTTACAGAATTTGAAAATACCAGCTGCCGTTTGCACTGTGCCAAATAGTCCAAATTGACTTAGAATAAGATCTTTTTAAATTAACTTGCATTGAAAGTTGATGTTTTTCCTTCTCCTGGAAAGTAATTAGGAGATATTAGGTTTTGGTCTGACAGCAGGAATGTGTCAATGTTTCCACGTTCTGTTTATTAGAGCATTCAATACTGTTGTAGTCAAGACCACTAGAGGTGAATCAGAGTAGTTGTCGAGCTGCGGTCAAGACCCAGATTTTGTAGAGTCAGAGTCAAGACCAAGACCAGGAGTGGCGAGACTGTGACAAGACTGAGACCAGATTATGATTTTATTAGCATATGAAAGTAAAAAGAAGAAAAGGGAAAAATAAAGTAATTTGTAGGTTATTTACATTCATTATACATGATATATTAAAAATACTGTTATATTTAAAAAAAAAATAGCATCATATAATACACCTATCAGGCATAACATTATGACCACCTCCTTGTTTCTATGCTCATTGTCCATTTTATCAGCTCCACTTACTATATAGGTGCACTTTGTAGTTCTACAGTTACAGACTGTAGTCCATCTGTTTCTCTGCATACTTTGTTAGCCCCCTTTTACCCTGTTCTTCAGTGGTCAGGACCCCCATGGACCCTCACAGAGCAGGTACTATTTGGGTGGTGGATCATTCTCAGCACTGCAGTAACACTGACGTGGTGTGTGTTAGTGTGTGTTGTGCTGGTACAAGTGGATCAGACACAGCAGTGCTATCAGAGACGATAGCTCATCTGCTGCTGCATAGTTTGTGTTGGTCATCCTCTAGTCCTTTATCAATGGTCACAGAACGCTGCCCACAGGACACTGTTGGCTGGATATTTTTGGTTGCTGGACTATTCTCGGTCCAGCACTGACACTGTGGTGTTTAAAAACTCCAGCAGCACTGCTGTGTCTGATCCACTCAGACCAGCGCAACACACACTAACACACCACCACCACGTCAGTGTCACTGCAGTGCTGAGAATGATCCACCACCCAAATAGTACCTGCTCTGTGAGGGTCCATGGGGGTCCTGACCACTGAAGAACAGGGTAAAAGGGGGCTAACAAAGTATGCAGAGAAACAGATGGACTACAGTCTGTAACTGTAGAACTACAAAGTGCACCTATATAGTAAGTGGAGCTGATAAAATGGACAATGAGCGTAGAAACAAGGAGGTGGTCATAATGTTATGCCTGATCGGTGTACATAGCCTAAAAATTATTATTATTATTATTATTATTATTTTTAAACACTCAGAACAAAGCTGCCTCTACGTAGCTGTCCTTTGAATGTTTATACTGTTTTGGCTCTGGTGAGTTTCATTGAATTTTAAAGCAAAAAAAATGTAATTAATTTATTCACCACCAAATCTGGCACTGAATTATGTTGGACAGATCAAGGTCGCTTAACTATCTATTCAAAAGAAGATTGGTAACAATTATTATAGACTTCTTAAAGCAGTTGTCTCTCTTTCTCTCTCTCTCTCTCTCTTTGTCTGTCAGGGTACTGAGTGTGGAGGAACCTTCATGGACTGAGGAAGGGGAGGAGCCCCCTGATCATCCATATTACAACAATATCCCCGGCAAGATGCCCCCACCTGGTGGCTTTATTGATGCCCGACTAACCAGTCAGACAGCAGAGAGCAGCCAGGTCCCCTCAGCCGATCTAATGTCATAAATGAACTATACCAATGTACAAATTCATCTTGATGTCACATTTATCATATCACACCTGTGCAGAATGTAAATAATTAGACAGCAGTACAACTTTTTTGTCTCTCTTTTGCAACGTATTGGATTTGAAAAAGAAGCACTTGCTGAGTGCAGAACGTCAGCTTTAATTTGAGGAATCACAGACCTTCTTATACATAGTTCTGCCAAACACTGCCTTTAGAAAGTAAAATGGTGCTCAGTGAGGTCTGGTCCTGTGCCTGACTTGGCCGGTCAAGAACAGTCCACCTTCATCTCTGAAAACTCCACGCTTGCAGTACGTTTCAGGTTATTATGCTGCACAAAGTGAATTTTGAGCAGTTAAGATTCTGATCACTTTACAGTTCATCAAGCTGCTGCCGTTGGCAGTCACATCATCAGTGAAGACAAGTAAGCCCGGTGCCCTTCAAGTCATACATGCCTGTGTTACCGTGGCTACGTTTACACAGCAGGGAAAAGTGGCCCAAATCTGATTTTCTCCCCAAATCCGATTTTTTTTGTTTGGCTGTTCACAATATCTTTTAAATGTGATCTGTATGAAACATCAGTCTGAACAGATCAGCTCCTAAACTGACCCGCATGCACAGAAGAACAGAGCTTCACACGGCTCATACAGAGGTAAACAATCACAACTGCCAACGAACGCCAGTCGCTCCCGGAGGATCAGCTTCACCTTCGCCAGCATCACAGGAGCCATCATGAAGCTTCACTGACTGACAGCTGGGCTCCTCACCCAGAATGTGTTTGAGTTCGCTGTAAAAAGGGCGCGGTCACTTCTTTGATTCGCGTCCTCAGATTCTTAACCTTTGCTTTCAGACTTCTGTTCTTTGACGCTGCAGCCTCGCTCTCCTACGGCTGCGTTCGGCCATTTCTTCCAAAATCTCTTCAAACACGGAGGGTTTTGGATGAGCCTCTTCTAATTTTTTGTACAGAAACATCAGCCTAAATGTTTATGAGTCTCAGCAGCGTGAAATTATGACGAATGTCGAGTTGGACTGACGTAAAAGCCGCATGAATTCCGATCTGGCTGTTGCATTGCCGCAGATCGGCTACGTATCGGATTTCAGTACCACATATGAAAGCGTCTTAAATCAGAATTGAAAATGTCAGATTCAGTGTGTTTATCTGTTCACACTGACTCACAGACACACATCTGTGTCACATACGGAGAAAAAGAACACATTTGGGCCACTTTTACCTGCTGTGTGAACAAAGCCCATGTTTCACAGATGAGCTTTTTTTTCTCCACCCTTGCCTCTTTCTGAGGCTCTGCCACAGGCTCCTTTCATTATTTTTATCAAAAGACTTTGTCCCCAAACCTCTACAGTTTTTTAATATACCTTTTAACAAACATTTAACTAGGCATTTCTCTTTTTGAGGCTTGCCAGTGGTTTACATCATGTAAATGCTCTGAGATGTTCGTATAGCGTTCTCTTTATAACAGTTTGACACATCTGTGGCTGCATCCTGGATAATGATGTTGATCTGTTCAGCAGTTTTTCTTCATGACAGAACATTGTCTTCCCTGTCTTGGCAAAGCTCACTCTTGCTTCTTAGCAATATACCCAACCAAGGCTTTTGATCCACCAGATATTTTGGCTAAGTCTCTGAACAAAAACCGATCCTGGATCTGCACTCTCACTTGTCCACTTGAAAAAGGGACCCTCACATTTATCTTATGTGTGATGACTCTAGTCTTACATAAGGTCTTATTTGCAGTACATTAGTATTGCAGCCTGCAGTTGCAGCGATGCGGAGTGGCTGCTTTATTACTGGGGATGACTCATATGCTCTCTCTGCTGTTTCTCTTTTATCGCAGGGGGTCGGAGTAGACCAGACGTACTACCAGGGCAGGCCTATACTCATTCAACAAGGTGAGAGCTTTTCCTCCTCTCTCTCTTTTCATTCTTCCTCTGTGTCCTTCCCTTTGGATGGGATTGGATTCTAGATGGTTCACAGAGGTACTTTTATGTAACTAAGTAAAACAGTTGTAGATTAGAACTGTTGAATCTTTGATATAAACACACATATTTTACCCTCTGAACTCATCGCCTCTTTGTCTAGGGTCATGTGACATATACAGTCTGCCTGAGATCAAAGGTCAGACCTCTAAACCAGGAGAGGTTCCCACGTATGTGAACACACAGCACATCGACACGCAGGTGCTGGCGGCACTGCAGGGGGAAGCAGACGCAGCCTCAGAGCCATGCGCGACTGCTGCGGCCAAAGACAGCCCCAGGAAAGACCTCTTCGACATGAGTGAGGCTTACTAACTTTTACAAGCCTTCAGAACTGACTTGCATGTGGGATTTATGATATAAACACAGCCCTTCCACAGTTTAGGGACACCAAGCTTTTCAAAATGGTTTTAATACATCACCATGTTTTCTTGGTCAGTTTGCAACAACTTGGTGTATTAAATAAATAATATGTTTAGATTGTAGATACACAATATATCTGTGATATAGCTTGATTGGCCATTATGGCTACGTTCACACAGCAGGTAAAAGTGGCCCAAATCTGATTTTCTCACCAAATCCGATTTCTTTGTTTGGCTGTTCACATTATCTTTTAAATGTGATCTGTATGCGAAATCAGCCTGAACAGTTCAGCTCCTAATTTGACCCACGTGCGCAAAAGAACCGTGCTTCACGTTGCTTCACATGGCTCGCCTATCCAGAGGTAAACAATCATGACTTCCAAAGAGCGGCAACCACTCCCGGAGCTTTCAGTTTCATCTTCACCAGCATCACAGGAGCCATCATGAAGCTTCTTTGACTGACAGCTGGGCTCATCAGCCAGAATGTGTTCGAGCTCGCCTTTAAAAGTGCTCGTTATTCGGACATGGTCACTTCTTTGGTTCGTGTCATCGGATTCTTTAAACTTTGCTTTCAGACTTTTTCTTGTTTCTACGGCCGCGTTCAGAGCCTTCAAACACAGAGGGTTTTGGATGAGTCTCTTCTAATTTTTTTGGTACAGAAACATCAGCCTAAATGTTTATGAAGTCTCAGTAGCGTGAAATGATGATGAATGTGGAGCTGGATTGACATAAAAGTCGCATAAATTCCGATCTGGCTGTTCAGACTGAGTCGCATTGCCGCAGATCGAATACGTATCGGATTTCAGTACCACATATGAAAGCGTCTCAAATCGGAATTGAAAATGTCAGATTCAGTGTGTTTATCTGTTCACACTGACTCACAGACACACATCTGTGTCACATATGGAGAAAAAGAACAGATTTGGGCCACTTTTACCTGCTGTGTGAACAAAGCATATGAGGCTTATATTGGAATTGCCACCAGTCGTTGTTTGGGGACACTGTCAAATGATTAAAATCATTAATCAGAATTAATCACATCATTTTATGTAGTTAATCTTGATTAATCACATTTGTCTTTTATGTGTGGACAAAATACACTTCTCAGGAATGCATTTATTACTTTTGGTAATTCAATAGACATTCAAGAGACTCCGTCTTATTCATGTTTCACATTTTGTTCCAGAGCCGTTTGAAGATGCAATCCTGACGCAGTCTCCATCAGCAGCACCCACAGCGTCGAGCCTGCATAAGGCGGCTTCAGTGGATAACTCCAGCCCCCTGCTGGTGCGGTCGGCGGCCTTACGGGCCCTGGAGGAGTTGGAGGGCCAGGCCTGGTACCATGGCGAAATGAGCCGGCGCCAGGCCGAGAAGTTACTGCTTAATGATGGGGACTTCCTGGTGCGGAAAAGCACCACCAACCCGGGCTCATATGTGCTGACGGGGATGCACAACGGACTGGCCAAACACCTGCTGTTGGTGGATCCAGAGGGCACGGTGAGTGAGAGAGTTTGAGAGAGTGAAAAGAGAAGGAGCATATATCGTTTGTGTGAGTGTACAGTACTGTGCAAAGGTTATAAACCAGTCTTCATTAATTTCCAAAATGACAGGAGATATTTCTGAAATTAGATAAAAAATTACCCACTTGCATAAGGAAAACAAAACGGGACAAAAATGGAAAAATTAATTAAAAGCTACAGAAAACAATGGGACTCGTAACAACCACCTGCAAGACCCGGCAGACCCCCAAAACTGCCCTCAACAGATAAACAGCACTTAAAGCTTTCATCTTTGAGAGAGAGGAGAAGAAAACTGAATGTGTTTTGGATCCTGAGAAGCAGAAAACGACTTCTAGGTCTGAACTTTGGAGGCGTCGATGTCCCTGCAGATTTGTTTGAAAAACTAAAAGCAAAGAGTGGACACGCTAAATATTGAAGATTATGACATTGTATTTAGTTCTTGAGGCTGTGGGTGTGTCTCAAAACCTAGTGAGCTCTACATAGACAGCATTTTACGTCACAATATGCGCTCCTGACAAGAAGGCTGTCCCAATTCTTAGATATCTCAAATATGCTGCCTACTGAGGTCTCATTTTGGCCAAATATCGAGAGAGCATCGGATGTTTCCTCAGCCGCTGAGGCAATCCCGCGATGCAGCGCGGCACAACTTTTGTTTGAAGATGGCGGGCAGAAGCGCTTTGCCAAGCAGCGACGTCATCTTCAAATGTAAGTTATTCTGATTTTCTGGGGTGTTTATCTGTTTTCTAGTCATAAAGGTGCTCAAATAGCCGATACTTTCCACGTTTGACCACAACTATTGTCTATTTTGGTGTTTCATTCAGAGCAAATACAATGACGGCTGACGTAAGTAAACGTCGGCCTCGCGCAGTGGGCGGGAACAAGCAGCGACGTCACTGCTGTCTAACTAGAGCGTCTCATTTATCTATCTTATAAGGATAGATGACGGTTGGAACGCTGCCTACTTAGACAGCTGCCTATGTAGACAGCGGCTACTTAGAGAGCTCACTAGGTTTTGAGACACACCCTGTGTGATTTTCTGCTAAATATTTATTGTCTTCTTTTTCCCTGTTGCTGAAAAATGAATAGCTTGCACTTAATGGCTGGAAATTAAACCAGTGAAGGGTGGTATCTAACTTCTGCACAGCACTGTAAACTCCTGTAACCGTAATTTTTGAGCTTAGTAAATGCTTTTGAAAGTGGCCCAAATCCGATCTTTTTCTTCATGTGGCACAGATGTGTGTCTGTGTGTCAGTGTGAACAGTAAAAACACTTAATCTGACATTTTCAATTCCGATTTGAGATGCTTTTTTATGTGATACTGAAATCCGTTCCTTATCCGATATGCAGCAACGGGACTCAGTCTGAACAGCCAGATCAGAGTTCATGCGACTTTTACGTCAGTCCAACTCCACATTTGTCATAATTCCGCGCTGCTGAGACTCATAAACATTTAGGCTGATGTTTCTGTACAAAAAATTAGAGGAGGCTCATCCAAAACCCTCTGTGTTTGAAGAGATTTTGAGAAAAATGGTCGAACGCAGCCGTAGGAGAACGAGGCTGCAGCGTCAAAGAGGAATTAAAAGTCTGAAAGCAAAATTTTAAGAATCCGAGGACACGAACCAAAGAAGTGACCGCGCCCTTTTTACGGCTTGAACACATTCTGGGCGATGAGCCCAGCTGTCAGTCAGTGAAGCTTCATGATGGCTCCTCTGATGCTGGTGAAGATGAAGCTGAACCCTCCGGGAGCGACTGGCGTTCGTTCATAGTCATGATTGTTTACCTCTGGATGAGCCGCGTGAAGCTCTGTTCTTTTGTGCATGCGGGTCAGTTTAGGAGCTGATCTGTTCGGACTGATGTTCACATTTAAAAGATAGTGTGAACAGCCAAACAAAAAAATCGGATTTGGTGAGAAAATGAGATTTGGGCCACTTTTACCTGCTGTGTGAACGTAGCCATATTACCTCAGATACAGTAATCAGAGCCATGCTGAGTAGGGTATTAATTAGCCACAATACTGTTATCAATGTCTAAAGCAAACTGTGTGACTCATCCATGTCAACTGAATCTTTATCTTCAAAAGGTACGAACTAAAGATCACATATTCGAGAGCATCAGCCATCTGATTGGCCACCACCGTGACAACAACCTGCCCATTGTCTCGGCGGGAAGTGAACTGTGCTTGAAGCAGCCTGTCGAAAGAAAACAGTGACGGCCTCCCAAAAACCTGCACGAGGGGAACAGGGTCACCCCCGCCCAGAAAACGCCCCGAAACCTGATACTTGAAGTTGAATAATGAGAGCATGGCGGATGACGATTGTTGACAGTTGCGGGAGGTATGATGATGTGGACGTGGTCAGTTGAACAGTAGCGAGGTTTCTTGTCTGATCACTTCGGACTCTGTGAGAAAGATCCGTGGATATAAAGATGACACCTGATTTATAGAACTGTTATAATTATTTTGCTGTGATGACTGAAATTCTATATTTTTTGAGAAGACATAGGTGCATTTGGACATATATGTTGATTTGGTGTTTTAAACTAAAAAAGGCAAGCGTAGTTTAGACGACAAGGAAATCAACCTCCAGGAGGGAAAAGATTTAACAGTATTTTAGAATAACCTAAAAAAGTTTTAGTTTTGTCTATCAAGCACAACCGGATTTACACGTTCGTTGGTAAGAGTTAGACGAGAAACAAATATTTGAGAAAAAAAAAAGTTGTTTATATCGAACTATTTTAGGAATTGTTCTTTAACCGCAGCTAGTGCGACGGGTCATTTGATAGGCGTCTATCAAATCACCGGTGGGTCTGCTTTTATGGAGGAGGATATCAATGTGTTCGCTTTAACAGTAGTCTCTCTCTCTCTCTCACACAAACACAAACACTGCTTTAAAGTACTGACACTTTTCTATGATGTTGAATCTGTGGCACCGCACTCGCATGATTTGAAAAACTTAATTGTTCTTGTGGTCATCGTTGGTAGCCCTCAAGGCCTTATGAGAGGTGCTTGTGTATGCTCACAATGTAAAATATTTATGCTTTTCCGAATATTTATTGAATTTGGTTCCTTTAAACTTGTAAAAGGTGTGTAGTTAATATGTTCAGGGCTTATTTTATACCATGGATGTTTATATCATTTATGGCTTTCATGGCTTGATTGTGGGCTTTAAAAAAAAAACAAATACATTGATATTATGATTATTATCATTTAAAAATGAAACAACTATAAGTGGATAGCACAACCTACACTTAAGCCCAGATTTACTAAGGTAATTAGTACATATTAAAATGAGCTAAGCAGTTTTAGGAACACGATCGGCGATTTGATCCTGAAAAATGAGTCACGCAATCAGAGATTGTGTTTGTGAACTCTGCGCATGCTAATGACTTTAGTGAATCGGGTGCTTAGATTGTCTGTATGTCACAGAGGATGCTCGCTAGTATGTTTTTATGCACAGTGCCAACAATGGATTAGAGGAGTTTATGATTTTTTCATAGCGCGCATCCTCATCTTGAAGGAAAACGAACCACACTACTTGACGAGTCTTTCCAAAGTAAACCACACGTCACAAAAGTGCACCTGCTAGTTCTGACTTTTTCTTAAGACGACAGTCTGAGAATGTTCACAGTGTATGAAACTAATCATTTACCTATGCAGTTACGTCTAGAGAAATTTACTGTATGAAAGGGCAAAAACACCAATCAGGCATAACATTGTTTCTACACTCATTGTCCATTTTATCAGCTCCACTTACTATATAGGTGCACTTTGTAGTTCTACAGTTACAGACTGTAGTCCATCTGTTTCTCTGATACTTTGTTAGCCCCCTTTTACCCTGTTCTTCAGTGGTCAGGACCCCCATGGACCCTCACAGAGCAGGTACTAATTGGGTGGTGGGTCATTCTTAGCACTGCAGTAACACTGACGTGGTGGTGGTGTGTTAGTGTTTGTTGTGCTGGTCAGAGTGGATCAGACACAGCAGTGCTGCTGGAGTTTTTAAACACCTCAGTGTCACTGCTGAACTGAGAATCGTCCACCAACCAAAAACATCCAGCCAACAGCGTCCTGTGGGCAGCGTCCTGTGACCACTGATGAAGGACTAGAGGATGACCAACACAAACTGTGCAGCAGCAGATGAGCTATCGTCTCTGACTGTACATCTACAAGGTGGACTGACGAGGTAGGAGTGTCTAATAGAGTGGACAGTGAGTGGACACAGTGTTTAAAAACTCCCAGACCAGCACAACACACACTAACACACCACCACCACGTCAGTGTCACTGCAGTGGTGAGAATGATCCACCACCCAAATAGTACCCGCTCTGTGAGGGTCCATGGGGGTCCTGTCCACTGAAGAACAGGGTAAAAGGGGGCTAACAAAGTATCAGAGAAACAGATGGACTACAGTCTGTAACTGTAGAACTACAAAGTGCACCTATATAGTAAGTGGAGCTGATAAAATGGACAATGAGCGTAGAAACAAGGAGGTGGTCATAATGTTATGCCTGATCAGTGTATATAGAATTAGCAACCTCATATTAATTACCGAAAAAAGCTTATAAATTTGCGTGATAATGATTTGCATTCATCCGTGTGAAATAGGCTACATTACTCAGTAGTGATGGTACTTACACTCCAATGCTGATACTTGCATAGGTGAAATGGTTATTTTCATATAAACTGAAAAGTAGATAGTTCTTATCATTTTGGTTCTTAAGTACCGATTGAATATTGTGATCATTTCCCGAATCACACACTGGACACTTAATATTGATGTATTGGTATATTTTTCACATGAAACGCGCAAAACACTGGTAGCAAAGACAAACTGAGAGAAATCGAGGTTTACGTTATGAATGAGTGGTCCGGCTGTACAGAGAACAGTTTGAAAAGGACTGATTCGTTTCACACATTTGAATGATAAACTGGCCTCATTGCTGGCCTAAATGCCTTTATTAGTCTAGTTTTCTTTATTCTTCCCTCAGAAACCTCTAGAAGATCTCCCGCACCCTATTTTAGAAAGCACTAGAACCCACTGAACCCTCTGTTGAGATGAAGTTAGTAAAAATCTCACAAATCTTATATTTTTTGGACACAAAAAAGTGGAAATTGGTTGCATTTCATGTTTACCACTCGGCTGAATCAGAAAGATGTGTATATTTTACTGCGTATGTGATATATTACCACATAATAGGTAGCTGTATGTATTTTTAAAAAACTGAAAGTAGTGGAAACTCTTTACAGCAGTTTTAGTTTTTTAGAATGAAAGTCCTCCATATAGTGAAATAGTTGGCAATATTGGCTCCCTTTAAATCTGCTGTAGTTCAGTGACTTTTGGAGGGTATAGTGAACGTTTTAGGTTCTTTGAAGTCAAATAGGTTTTCACTCTACTAAGGTGTACGTGAAGGATAAAAAACACTTTTTCTTAACTACTAAATAAGACGTTACTTTAAATTATAGGCCTTTCCCAGAAAGCCCAAAGCATGAGTCAGTGGCCACAACAGAAAATAGTTTTGCCAGATTTCTGTTTATGAAAATGTGCCTTTTATTTGTACCGATGGTCTTTTTCCTCTTTTAAAGTGCAATAGCCAAAACCTCTCCGTGGACGTGGGTAGTACCATCCGTGGAGCTGAGTTTGGTGAGATATTGCTGCCTGAGATACACGTATGACTCCCATTTAAGTTTCCTTTGTCTCACAGCCACTGTAGTCCATAACACCACATTCAACCCCAGTAGGAATGAAATGGATAAAAGAAATTAAACATACGAGAAAGTCCAAACCAATGTTTACAGAGTTAATCTTTGGTTTGTATGGGTTATCATTATTCTGTATGACTGTTGGCAATAAAATGGTGAATGTGTGTGTTGTTCTCGATAACGTCTTAGTACGGAACGTGATGTGAGTTACAAGCACAGCGGAACATCATTTTAACTAGTTATCCGAAACACTATCCTTTAAGTTCTCAAAGGGCTTATATTCTACATATTTCTTGAATTTAACCTTGCTCGAATTTTTAGGGCATCGCTAACTGTTACTTAGGGCTGAACGATTCATCGTTTTTATATCGAAATCATGATTTGATAGAGTGCAGTTTTCAAATCTTTTAGAGCTGAAATTTTTATTAATATCCTACATTATTCGCAGTTGTCTTAAGAAGATTTAGGTTGGGAAATGTAACGTAATAACACTGAGCTTGTGAACTGGCAGTCAGGCACACAACGTCCAGCATTGAAGCCTCAAGCCTGAAAAAATGGATGTGGAGAAAAAAAGACTTACAGCTTAATTTAAATAATATCATTTAAATCACAATCCTGGCAAATTCAATTAAATATCTTGCCCAAATCGTTCAGCCCTACTGTTATCCCTGTAAAAATCACCCAACCCTGTTCTGTACATGCTGATGTGTCTGTATTTATTCTTATATATGTTACATTTTACAGTACGTCGCTACTGTAGATGATACAGTTCCCTCCACAGATATTGGCACCCCCGTTAAACATCAACAAAAAAGGCTGTAAAAATATTCTTTACTGCTTATTCTTTTGATTCTTTCTTATTCTTCCTTTTCTGAAATATGAGCAAAAATCTAACCTTTAATTGAAATACAGTGATTGAAAGAAAAACTAAATCTTATCATGAAATAAAGATTTTTCCTAAATCTGTGTATGCCACAAATGTTGGCACCCCTAAATTTCTTTATGAGTGAAATCTAACTGAAGTATATTCCCATTATTCATATTTTAGGTTTATAAGTTCGCCTGAGCGATTAGGGACACTTAAATAGTCAGCCATGCCCTCCTGGTTCAATATGATGTGACACACAGGCCAGATTCCCTCAGTCATCCATCACTATGAGAAAGATGAGCTGCACAAATTAGGAAATGCCTACAAGAACAGCTAAACAGTTGAAATGCCCACTTCCACTGTCAGGGTAGTAACTACGAAGTTTAAAGCAACTGGAGATGCAAGGAAGAGGCCATATGTCTATACTGACTCGACATGCTGTGAGGAGGATGCTTTGAGTGGTCATAGTATCTCCAAGGATCATAGCTGGGGAATTGTAGACGTTAGTTAGGTCATGGGGTCAGAATGTCTCCCAAACTACAATCAAACACACCTACAGAACCACAAGTTGTTTGGGGGGTTGTCGGAAGAAAGCCTCTGCTGTCAAAGACCAACAAACTCTACAGTTTGCCAGACGTTACTAGAACTTGCAGTGGGATCATGTTGTCTGGTCAGATGAGACCAAAATAGAGGTTTTTGGCAACAAACACCAGAGGTGAGTTTGACGTGGACACAAAGACAGCCATGCAGAAATGTAGCCCATCCCCACTGTGAAGTATGGTGGTGGATGTGTGATGTTGTGGGGCCGTTTTTCTTCCAAAGCCCTGGACAGTTTGCTTGGATTCGACACTCCATTGAATACCAGCAGATATTACATTCAAACCAGACTGCTTCAGCCATGAAAGCTGGGCCATGGTTGGATCTTCCAGTAGGACAGTGATCCCAAGCACACCTCTAAATCAACACAAAGATGACCACAGAATCAAGTTTTTGTCATGGCCATTTTAGTTCCCTGACCTAAACCCCTTAGAAAACCTGTGAGCTGAAGAGGAAGGTCCATAAGTGTGGACCTTTGAAGGTTCTGGACAGGTTCTGTATGGAGCAATGGTCTCAGATCCCTTGCTGTGGGTTCTCCAGTCTCATTAAGCTTTATAAAAGAAGACTCAGAGCTGTTATCTTTGCAAAGGGAGGCTGCACAAAGTGTTAATCGAAGGGGTGCCTACAATTTTGGCACGAAGATTTGAGAAAAATATTTATTTCATGATAAGATTTAGGCTTTTTTTTTCTTTGTCATCGCACTTTAAATAAGGGTTCGATTTTTGTTCATATTTTTGAAAGAAATATCAGAAGGATGAGTAATAAAGAATGTTTTTCACAGCTTGCTTTGCTCATGCTTATCAGGGGTGCCAATATTTGTGGAGGGCAGTGTAGTTTGCCATCAGTACATATGAATCATGCAGCCTTAGTAAGTCTTACAGTTTCATATATTGCCTGCTTTAACCACCTTTAATAGGCTAAACCAGATTAATTAGCAAAAAAGGCCTTCAGGGTCCATATTCTACATTTTTCTTGTGTCACATGTTTTCCTTTGAGGTCCACTTGGGATGTTTGTGTGGGTATCAAAAATGGTCATAATTCATTTTTACTTGACCATTTCTAGCCTCTCTTTATCCAGGCTATATTTATTACTGTGCCTTTAAAACAGATATATGTAAATGAGCTCTGTTCTGATTGGCTGCCTTCATTCCAAAGGTCCGTGTTGAAACACTCCTTATAACTTCAGTGTGAATGAACAGGACTCTGTAGGTTGAATAGGCAGATATATCTCATTTTTTTGGTTGCTGTAACATCACAAACACACTAAATTCAAGACTTTGTTTCCATATATGGACTGTATGGAGGAGGCGTAAGCAGTACATTTTGAAACTTTAACAATGGTTACCTTCTACATCCCACTTTTTTCTTTTAAAAGTCAGGAAATGTAGGTTTCCATGGCATGAGCCTGTTACAGTGGGCAGCGATCAGGCATAACATCATGACCACCTCCTTGTTTCTATGCTCATTGTCCATTTTATTAGCTCCACTTACTATATAGGTGCACTTTGTAGTTCTACAGTTACAGACTGTAGTCCATCTGTTTCTCTGCATACTTTGTTAGCCCCCTTTTACCCTGTTCTTCAGTGGTCAGGACCCCCATGGACCCTCACAGAGCAGGTACTATTTGGGTGGTGGATCATTCTCAGCACTGCAGTGACACTGACGTGGTGGTGGTGTGTTAGTGTGTGTTGTGCTGGTCAGAGTGGATCAGACATAGCAGTGCTGCTGGAGTTTTTAAACACCTCAGTGTCACTGCTGGACTGAGAATAGTCCACCAACCAAAAATATCCAGCCAACAGCGTCCTGTGGGCAAGGCCTGTGACCACTGATGAAGGACTAGAGGATGACCAACAGCAGCAGATGAGCTGTCGTCTCTGACTTTACATCTACAAGGTGGACTGACGAGGTAGGAGTGTCTAATAGAGTGGACAGTGAGTGGACACAGTGTTTAAAAACTCCAGCAGCACTGCTGTGTCTGATCTACTCATACCAGCACAACACACACTAACACACCACCACCACATCAGTGTTACTGCAGTGCTGAGAATGACCCACCACCCAAATAGTACCTGCTCTGTGAGGGTCCATGGGGGTCCTGACCACTGAAAAACAGGGTAAAAGGGGGCTAACAAAGTATGCAGAGAAACAGATGGACTACAGTCTGTAACTGTAGAACTACAAAGTGCACCTATATAGTAAGTGGAGCTGATAAAATGGACAATGAGCGTAGAAACAAGGAGGTGGTCATAATGTTATGCCTGATCGGTGTATGCTGCCTACAGAAGGCCTCAGTAGCAGAAAGCAGCTGAAATTGATATCTCCCTGAACTGCATCTCCATGTCCAGCAGAGGGAGCCAGTTCTTTATTGTCTTTATTCTGTATGGATGAATAGCACCAAGTGGCCCACTTTGCAGTAGTGCTTTATATTGGACTGTTACAGTCAACATTTACATATATTTAAGGTGTCAGTTAAAGCTGTTTTAAACTACCTGATGTGGATAATTAGGCATCACCACCCAGTCCACACGTTAGAAGCACTTTTCAGGCGAGAATAGTAACGTTACGGTAATGAGCATTCTAATGTCTAGGATTTGAGAATTTCTTCTTTTTAGGTCATTTTCATGCAAGCATACCTTACATCATAACATAGTTCCATAGTTTTTCACTGCATACAAAATCTGATCAGTTCTGACATGTAGATCATGCTTACATGATTATAGTAATAGCAATACTCAATACTGAAGGAACACATACATTAGTACACTTAATGTGATCATAAATAATTTGCTCCTCAGATCTAAAATCGCAAACTGTGTCAACTTACGGGAACTGAGGAGTTCGGCCTGGTGGACAACACGTAGACAGACTTGTGGTGGACTGTAAGGTCCAAAATAATGCTTTTGACTACATGAGCAATGTAAACTCTCAGTGTAACTGACTTTTGAGGAACATAAATATAGTTTTGTTTGGATTTTAGCTTCACGCTCAGCTACAACAGCGAGTGCTGCCATGGATTCAGTTTGTGAAGTATGTCCAGTCGGTCTGAGCTACTGTATCATTTACTAAAATGGAGACCAAATCGAGAGAAGAGGCCGGGAAATGGAGGCTGCTGCTTCTGCTTTCCCTCCATCCTTTTGAATTCCTTGCCAGCCCTCTGTGGCGATAACTACTTATGGGCAGGAAAATTGTAGCCTTTCCAAGAGCAGCTTTTTCCAGAGCAAAGAACAGTCTTGAAGAAAAAGTCTTGGTTGAAAGTTTCATTCCAGTTCAGGAGACCATAATCCAAGACTATCACTCCGAGAGTTATACTGGCTCCTCAGCCTTGGTGGGAGAGGGTCAGGGTTGGTGTTCTTTAGAAAGCTCAAGCTCAAGCAATCCCGTTGACTGATTTCAGTCATAAAAGCAAGTCCTAGACCAGCATAATCAAGTATTTTGTGAATACTACTGAAGAGATGGTATTCATAAAGCACAGGAAGGTAACAGTATCGATCTCGGATCTACAGTGCTGTTCAGAACTCAGAGACCACACTTCATGTATTCATTCCCAGTCAAGACACCCAGTGACAAGTACAAGTTATTCATTTTCAGGACCTGCTAGACCAACAAAACCTTCTCCATCAGATAAACAGCACTAAAAGCTTTTGTCTTTGAGAGAGAGAAGAGAAAATCTAAAAAAATCCACATACGTTGGGGATTATTTGGTTCGTGAGCAGCAGAAAATGTTAAACCAACTTCTAAGACTGAACTTTGGAGGTGTGGAAAAATATCCCTGCGGATTTCTTTGAGAAACTGAAAGTGAGTCTCTTGATAAGATTGGAAGCTGTAATAAAAGTAAAGAGTAGATCAACTAAATACTGAAAAAAATAAGTTATATTTAGTTGTTGAGGCTTCTGTGTAATTTTCTGTTATGTATGTTTTCTGTTTTTTCTCCTGACACTAAAAAATGAGTGACTTGTACTTAGTGGAGGTTTTACTGGAAGTAAATAAATGAAGAGTGACCTCTGACTTTTGCACAGTAGCGGGAGTCCAGGAGTCAAATCGTGGACTAAGAGTCTGTGATTAGCTACCTCAAATCTTTTCATTGGGCTCTTACAGCATGGCTTACTGCTTCTACGCCAGGGGTGTCCAGTGTTATCCAGAAAGCCCAGTGTGGCTGCAGGTTTTCTTTGCAACAAAGCAGTAGCTCACATGTTCAGTTGGTTAAAGACCGATTAAACAAGTGGAACGAGTTCTCTTCTTATTTGGAACGAAAACCTGCACCCCCCCCGGGCCTTTACGGATAAAACTGGACACTCCTGCTCTATGACATAAGCCACAAAAAAGCCAAGAGAGGGAACGGTGGAAGAGATCTTCTCCACCTCCTGAAGATGAACCCCACCTCCATGACTATTTATGACCCAGCAAAAGACACTGCAATGATTCTCAATGTCAGCTTGTGTTTCCAGGAGTCTCAGTTCACCTCAGGTTTTCAGCACTCTCCTCCATGGCTGCTGACCGGCTCCCGCTTTGACGTGTGAGTGACGGTGATTTGGGGGCTTTCATCCTGCTCTTCTGCTGGTTTCTGACTCTGGCTGGAGCTCAGCTTACTTCGGCTGGCGTCTCCGTTCGGTTTGGGGTCCCGGGGCTTCACCAAACAGCCACAAACCAGCCCGAAAAACGCCCGCCGCATCTCCCTGCTGGCCAGGGTGTAGATGATGGGGTTCATGCCGGAGTTCAGCACGGCCAGCGCGATGAACCAGTCGGCTTTGAGCAGGATGCTGCACTTCCTGGGCTTGCAGGCCACGTCAATGAGGAGGAGGACGAAGATGGGCGTCCAGCAGGCTATAAAAACCCCGACAACGATGCTGACGGTGCGCAGCAGGGCCATGGAGCGTTCCGAGTTGCTGTGCTTCGTCACCTTGCGGCTGCTGGACTTGACCAGGATGTAAATACGAGCGTACAGCACCGAGATGGCCAGCAACAAAGCCATGAAGATGCTGATACAGAAGGCCACGTATTTCTTTGTATAGAGGGGGAGAATGGTGGAGCAGTCTGGCAGGTTGCCCAGGCAGTTCCAGCCTAGAATAGGCAGCGCTCCCAAAGCTATAGCTATCAACCAGCACGTCCCTATGAGCAGAAACACCCTGTAGTTCTTGTTGGCATCATAAGGCCTCATCTTAATCATGGTGAGATGCCTCTCGATGGCTATCGCCAGCAGACTGAAGATGGAAGCCCCCAACGCCACGAACATGCTCCCCTCCCGGATGAACCACTCAACCGGGGACAGGTGTAGAGTCCTCTCGCCCGACATTAGGACATTCACCGTATAAGCGACTCCGGCCAGCAGGTCGCACAAAGCCAGGTTGCCGATGAAAAAGTACATGCGGTTGTGGAATTTGTGGTTTTTCCATATGGCTATCAGAACTATCATGTTCTCCAGGACTATGAAGCTACATATAACCAGAAATACCACCTTCTCCGGTCCCAGGGTGCCGCCGGTGGTTACGTTTCGATTGTCCAGCTTTCCTATGTAACTGTAGTGCAGGGAAATGTTTGTGTTTATCATTGCTGCAGTATTCCGGTTGCTCCAGCAGAGGGCAGCAGCAGTACAGGAAAAGGGGGGGATGAAGCTCCTGTACCTGGACACAGGTGAGTGACCTTGGCTGTGTTCAGTTTTTTTAAGGGGATTTACAGTGTTTCTACTTCATCCCTCCATCGTCGCTGAGGAGCAGGTGATCCAAGCCGAGATGCAGGTAGAAGAACATCTTTTCCTGATTAAAAAAAATAATAAATTCACTGCTGAGAAGTAAACGAGTAGATTCAGAGGGGGTGAGAACCAAGAACATGATCATGTACTCGAGTTACTGTTAAAGCTCAAACCAATCCGTGTAGTTCCTATGTCTGGATCTCTAATGGGTTCCTATGCTGTACACCAGTGTTTCTCAACCCTGTTCCTGGACTTTTTAGAGTTTTCCTTGCTTCCAACACACCTGATCCAACTAATTAGATCTTTAACAGCTCATTACTGAGTTAAAGTGTTGGGAAAAGCACTAAACGTGCAGGGCTAGTGGGCCTCGAGGAGCAGGGTTGAGAAACACAGCTGTACATTACACAGATCATGGAAAAAAAATCCTAAAAATATTGAAATATTACACGGAATGTCCAGTAGGGAGGCATTCGGAAATCAGCTGAAGTCTTATATCTCCATACACACTGGTTTGAACTGTGCAAAGCAATGAAATACTCATTTAAACCGTGTATAATTCATATATCATGTATACAGATATATAAAAAGCAATATTACTAATGTTATTATATTAATTATGCCCAAACCATGCAAAAGTAATGGATTGTAGAAGTTTTGTTAGTAATCTAATAAGCAGCGTTTGTATTTTAGAACATCCAGATGAATGTTTTTTAAAAAATAACCTGAAACTTAAAAATAGACTCAAAACATCTGTTCAACGCTGAGTTAGTCCTGCCGGAGGTAAAGACTAAACATGGAGAAGCCGAGTTTAAAGCACTGTTAGCTTTTCTAGACCTTCTCCTCTAAAGGCACTTTATTATCCTATTTTTTTTTTATTATTTTTAATTAGATTTTTAGTTACCCCAATTTAATTCCCAATTTGATTTTTAATTTCATGATGTTCTCTTTCAAATCTATTATTTTAATCGTGTTTTAATCATGTTTCTGATTTCTGTTCTCCTTTATTTTCCTTAAATGACTGCATTTCATGTGTAAAGCACTCTGAATGACAGCAGGATGAACGCTGCTCTACAACAACAAACTCGCCCTGCCTTAGTCTGGATTTAAATGGTGCATCTTTTTGCTCTTTTTTCGGCTCACCTTCCAAATTCCCAGACTCCACTGACTCTCCACGACTCCGACTCCACGACAGAAGAGTTCTAGCTCTCCTCTTCAGAGCCTGAAGGCGGTTCAGCTCATCCTGAAGCGCTCCTCCAGTTCAGTAAAGCGAGACGCTCCTCTGTAATGCTCTGTAACGTCCACATTTCCAGGGACAGGATCTGTCTGTGCTCCGACTGTGGAAACGGACCGTCCCACTTCTGCAGACCGTCTCGCTCGTGGTGTTTTTTCTCCCACCCGTACTCCGACAGGCCCCGCCTCCTGCGCTCTGATTGGCTGGTATTGTGTCTTCACTTCTCCGCTTCATTGTGAGGATGTGGAAGATCATTCCCGTCACTGAAACTGAATATTTTGTGCCCCTAGCGTTTACATATATATTACACTTGAAAAACATGTTAGGATTACAATTTATTTACATTTTAAAATAAAATAATGAGGTTTTTTTTTTAACAATAACACCATCTTGAGCCTCAATTTAGCAATATTGGTGTTTAAATCAATTATCTAGATTTCCAAGCACCACAGAAGAGCTCGTCCTCACAGTCGTGTATAAAGGCCGTATTTTGAGGTAAAAACATGTTCTTCTGCAATGTTAACCACTATAATCTATACATGACTGTGGAATATATGCATTAAATGACATAAAGAAAACAAATGACAAATAAATATTATAAAATATATAATGAAAGTTGTTGTCCCCAGGAGTCGTGTCACTGGTGTTACCACGTAACTAAAAATCTCCTATTTTGAAATAAAAGTCACACTGATGACATCACTCGACTTCCTTTCACCTGTTTTCTGAGGATCTATGAAGAAAAGCACATGGTGAGTCCACTGTGTCTTTCAGTTATCAGAGATTTTCTCATTTAGCTCATGATTTCATATGATGCTCTTAGCTGAAGTCACTGGTGTGACCGACTTTATTCTGAGGTAATTGTGAAAAAATAGAAAACAAATGGATTAAATTACATATTTTAGTGGATATTCCATGACTGACAACATGCGGTTTGATGCTCTGTAGCAGTTATTTTGTAAAAATGTCTCTGGTGTTACCTTTCTTATGTGTAACACCAATGACGATCAGGAACACCAGTGACTTCTATGGGTAGATGAAAAAGTGGACGTTTCTGTAGAATGACCCATATATATAATATATATCAAGGAATGATTATATATATTGAATCTATCATCTCTGTCCAAAGAAAGCCATGTACCTCCATTGTTGTCGATGCTCTAAAATCACTTGGAATTAAAACTTTTTACATTGACTTACATTGAAAGGAAAGAGTGTTTTTGTCCTCTCCTGTAAAGTTACTGTTTTGGAGATACTTTCTTTGGACAGCGATGATATATATATCATCGCTGTCCAAAGAAAGTATCTTTAGAGCATCGACAACAATGGAGGTACATGGCTTTCTTTGGACAGAGATGATATATACGATATATATAATCATTCCTTGACAAAGGATTCTTTTTCTCAGAATAAACTCACTTCAGTCACAAGTTGTATTTTTCCCATTTTTTCAGTGTGAAATGAAGCTAATTGACCCAAAGGGGAATTTCAAATAACCCTTTTCACTCATCTTTATACATACATATATATATATATATATGGGTCATTCTACAGAAACGTCCACTTTTTTATCTACCCATAGAAGTCACTGGTGTTACTGATCGTCATTGGTGTTACACATAAGAAAGGTAACACCAGAGACATTTTTACAAAATAACTGCTACAGAGCATCAAACCACATGTTGTCAGTCATGGAATATCCACTAAAATATGTAATTTAATCCATTTGTTTTTTTTTTATTTTTTCACAATTACCTCAGAATAAAGTACATTTTGTGAAAGTATCTCACAATTTAGGTGGCAGGAATGGGCTTCCATAGGCAGATTTGTTTGTCCTTTTTTTGACTGCTATCCTTCACATGGACATATGAAAGTGTAATGATGACTAGAACAAAAGAAAATTACCTGGGAAATAACTCTTAACTAAACATCTACACATTTGCTTTTTTTTTCCTGCTCCTGAAAAGTTTCTGCTACAGACCACAAAGTTTTGCATAGCCTTAAAATGCTTTATTAAAAGGCCGATATTCTATGTTTTTATTGTTTTTTTTATACAGCTCTACTTATAGTGTCTGTGTGGTATTAATTAGTAGTACTGGACAGGGATGCTTCTCAAACTTATAGAACCTGGACACACACAGTTTCGGTGGGCCTCCTTTCCAAATTGAAAAATGTACATCAAAGTAAAAGTAAAGTAAACTTTTTAGTCCAGGCCCCTTGTGGCACCTCCCTCTATTGTTCACAGAGAGCCATTATTGAGAGTTTTAGACCCAATCCTATTTCTTCTTTTTACCCCTACCCCTTATTTTCGAGTGTCACCCTAACCCTGTGGAACAGAGTTTAAAGGGGTAGTGGTTGAAACCTTCCCTCTGAAATGGGACCCTCAAATAAAAAGAGCATTACTTCATTAACAGCTACCAGCGCTGCTCTGTAGGCGACCCTGCCAGTCTGCAGTGACAGCAGAGGAGGGTAAAGTTCAGCTCCTCACTGCTGGGCTTTAGTTACATTTAGGGCATCATATGCCTTCAAAGAGGGGGGCAATTATTTATTATCACCCACCCCTAATTCTTCAGTGATATGAAACTGAGGTCAGATATTCACCAGCTTCTTGTTCGAATTTTCCTATTCCACCTTAAATGGACCAGCGGTTATATTCTGGCACTTCAGGCGTCAGAACTGCTGGCCTTTTTAAGGTGGAACGGGAAAGTTAGCTAGCTACCGAGACATTAGCATGCGACCATAATACATTGAAAGTTTTATATGTTACGTTGCTAATGGTATAATGACCATTGAAAAAAAATATGTTTTGGGTACTATTTTTCCTTACAACGCCCTGTACGTACCTCTCCGCCCTGTTTGGGTCGGCGGCGATGCATCGCACTGTGTCAACAAAACTCATAGCTTATGTGAGTAACGTTTTTCATCACAGGAGCTGTGATAGATCACAGTTGCTCCTCACTGTCCTGCCCCATAAACTGGTGAGCAGAGTAGCAAGGTGTTTGTTGTCGACACCATCAAGTTCCATTCGCCCTGGGTTCTTCTGCTCTGACAGGTTCTGGCTCTCTTTCTCAAAAGTTAAAAAAAAAAAAAAAATTAAACAGCCGTGTGTTTTTACCCAATCCCCAATATAAATTCACCCAAGATAACACGACATAGCTGAGAATCCGTGATAGACGTTATTTTAAATTCAAGTAAACAGTAAACAATCGTACTGACAAATACTTTTTGTACTGTCTGTCGCCGATTGGGTGAATACAGCTGCCCTACAAACCTTCTTTGAACCTTTTCGCTTTCCGTAGTTCCAGTGTTGCTTACCGTTCAATGAATGTGGCGCCCGAGAACCTGATTTGTCAAAGGGGACGTGAATATGAGGGGGAACTGAATCAGATACAACACCGGCATTAGCTGTGTTGAACGGCTGTAGCTGCAGGCTAGTACCTACAAAAGCACGTTAGCTGGCGCACTGATCTCAAACACGGAAGTGACTCTGGAGTAATAGCTTACATAAAAAATACATTGTAGGCCAAAACTTTGTAACAGAACCATCACAAAACACTGTCTCAGGTATCAAGCCATGCATTTATAACCATTATGGGTCATAACTTAATGGGACGTAGCTTTTAGAGCCATTAAATGCTTCGGACGTCTGGTTCCTAGTACTATGATAGTGAACAATTTTGACACGTGCATTTCACACTGAGCCACTCTGAATGATTCTGTTTACATCTAAACCATTGTATGATTAAGTAATTTTGCAAAATGGGTGGAGTTTCCCTTTACAGGGCTGTTTTATTCTGTTCGGATGTTTTTGTTGATATTTAATAATGATGTTTCTCTCTTGCTATTTCGCCCTCTTGATATTTAATAATGATGTTTAATAATGTTCAGTGTCCAGTTACCTCAGACGGAGGCATCTCACTTGGCTGGTCTTAAGAACCATTACAGAGTCCACTTTACCCCGAGACCGAGTCCAAACCATGTCAAGACTGAGAAAAGCCCATCTCAAAATTATGTAGAGACTTAGACTGTTATTCTCTTGAGACTGGACTCGAGAACCGCATCACTAGAATATCGCTGTTGTCGGAAGAAAACCTTGTATCTCCATTCGTTTTTCAGTTTTTGACATAATGTGAAAAAATACCTGTTGCCCTTTACATTTTTTGTAAATTTCAAGATGAATGGACCAAAAGAAACGACCCAAAATGACTTGGAAAACATTCTGGTTCCATTGACTTGCATTAAAAGTAAAGTAGGTTTTTTCCTTCTCCTGTAAAGTTACCATTTTGGAGATACGAGGTTTTCTTCCAACAACAGCGATATCCTGCCTAATGCCTGATACATTGTTTTACAATACAGTTGAGACAAGGTTTCAGACTAAAACTTGCATTTGTTTAAATAAATTCATGGTGGAGGATATACATGGGGTGTTATGAGGCTAAATAGTCCCCAAAGATAACATATTTTTGGGTTTACAATTATTTTACCATCATCAGCATTACATAAAAGCTCAGAAGACATGTGTAGGTTCTCTGGTGGGTTTGGATAGTAAATAAAATGGCTATATTTGTGTTGTGGACACTGTGGCCCCTGGTTCCTATCACCACCGCTGGAAGTGTAGCTAGTTAAATAAACTTTTTAGTGCTTTTGGTTGTCTTTACATAGTTTAAAAGGCTGGTAATATGAAACAAACCACAGAAAAGAAAGACAATTAGCTGCTGTCTAAAGATCATTACTGAAGCTGGTGGTTATATACCTGAAATGACGCTGCGCTGATTCATTGATGTTTCCTAAATTCTTATCAACATAAGATGTTCAGCGCAGCAACACAACATGATCACCAAGCACGTTAAAGCTTGTCCTGATTTCCCTGAAACAGCGTTTTTGGCCTTTCTTTGGAAAGGAATGAAACAAAAGCGTAGCCTAAGGGGGAAGAATCTGCAGTGTGTTTTTTCAAGGTGTATTGAATCAAGTGTACAAACAGCAGTTAACCCTCTGGGCTCTGAGGGCATTTTCTCAATTTTTGCATATCTTCTTGAACTCTCCTTTAAAGTCCATTTGAGTTCACTACATTCCAAAACTCCTGCAGCAACTTCAGCAGCAGTAAACTCTCTGCACGCC